TCCAGTTAGAGTTTAGAACATCAGTAATTAAATATAGAATACAGCCATCTTTAAATAAGTTAACAAATGAGATTTTGAATGCCCATTTCCAAGGAACGACAAACAACAATCCTGGTAGGAAAACTACATAGCATGTGCAATCAAATCTAACACGCTATGTCAAATGGACAATATATATGATACAAGCATTTAGAACGTGGTAACGGATGCATACATCAATAATAAATACGGCAGCAGCTATGGTCAGCAACAGTAAGTATTAGGTGGTGGAAAGAACGGAATCTCCTCCGTCGCATAAGCTTCCCCAACTTCTTTAATTATACTCTTAATTTTGATCTCCGAATATACTATCAACCCCACACCCTTCTTTATCTAATGCAAGAAATGTTTGCGAGCATATTCCCAACATCAAGCTGAGGAAATAAAAAGGGAAAATGCCTCTAACAGAATTTTAGCCTCAAAAAGACATGATCGACCGATCGGCCATCAAATTCACAAAGACTGGCACTCAAGAAGCAAAGATCTCTCTTTTTCCCTTTCACAAAGACAGCAAGATACTATGATCATCATCAACGTAAGGAAACCATAGGAAGACAGGTAAGGGGTGGGAGGAGGAAAAAAGATCACCGAGCCTTCGAGGAGCAGGGGAAATCCGCCGCCGGATGGAGATCTGGTCGACGGTGGAGGGCAGCCGGAAGGCGAGGCCGGACAAGCCGTCGGTTCTCGATCCCCCGAGGAAGGGTTTCGAAGAAGGCAAGGAAGCCGAAGCCGCAGACGCCATCAATGGACCTGCTTCTCTCTACCTTCCCTCCACCTGCGAGCTCGGGGCGGATAAGCTATATATCAGGGAAGAGAAACCGAGCGAGGGCCGCCGTTCACCCACCAACCCCCAGCCGCCGTGGAAGAAGGGGCCCACATCCTTGGTTCATTTCCTCGAGCCACAAATCCTCCCGAACCGAACCATAATTAATCGGATGGGTCGGTCTGAAGAACAAGGGCTGAATCTACCACGTGAGTCACGTGACGGGGCGAGGACCCGCCGTACCGACCACGCGGGTCGGATAAGTGTGTTTTCCCTGTACAATCCGACGCAGGGCACACGGCATTCGTAGCCTCGAATATAAGAAAACAATGGGACCCATCCATCATACTTATTGCCGACACGCGCATCTCCTCGTTTTCGTGTTTACCTGTTCGGGGCGAGGCAGGGACCATGGCCCTTCTCCGGCGCCGACCCCGGACCAAGGCTTGGCTCTGTCATCGTGTCGTGCCAACCTTACGTTCAAGAACAATAAAAAAACGTGGATCACGTGTCACTAACAGCGGGGCATAAGCGTGATTGTACACTCACCACAGCTACTATATATGCGTGGGAATATGGGGGAGATGAAACCTTCCTCGGCACGTGAATTGAGGCTTTCATCTAAATTGGCGGAGCCAACGTCAAGTGAAGAGATGAATGGGCTGGTAACACTGATACACTAGTGATGCATGGTGATGATCAAATTAGCTAGTAGAATGATACACCAGTCTCAAAGTCCATCGACGACAGATGATCGAGTTAGCGAGTAGAACAGCGTGTAAGAAGTTAGTGATGCTCAAAGGACTTCTCAATGTCTTCATCGCTCACTTCAACTTACATATTAGTCGGTATTCAATTGCTTGGTTAGGACGTTGGTGTTCAAAGATGATGGCAGGAGCGAGAAAAAATGAGAGAATTCTGCAGCTGCTGCTGCTTCGAAAACAAAAGTGGGCTTGCTTCGACAGCTACAGGTTATGTATGAATCATCCGTCAAGCAACTACCGACTTCCCTTAAAATCACTAGATGCCTCTTTTAAAATTGCTAACCAAAATCTACCAAAAACATATCATTTTCTACCCAAAAGTCCTCAATCTTAAATTGCACACGCAATATAAACCATCAGTGTCAGATGAAAAATAATAAAAGTAGAAAAATTTAATATATATATATATATATATATATAGAACCGAGCAATTTAATCTGACTTGGTGTAAATATCAGAAACAACACATTCCATTGCACTTGAATGAATCCACATGATTATCCAATTGATCAACCATGCGAGCTTCAAAAGTTAAAAAGCCTAATTGCATTACCATATCCACCAACAAACTTCTGACTATATTAATATGAACCCTTGTTGATGATAAGAACAACTCTCAAACTAATTCTTTAGATTCTTCTTTGGAATCAAGCCGCTTCATCCAATTTCCTTAGAAATCGTGCATATCTATCTATAGAAAGGTCCCTACATGTTATATTTCAATTCGAAGAAGGTACTCATGGTTTGTAAGCTCTCCATCTTATTAAAGCACTCATGAGTCTTAACATTGTTTGCATAGGGTATACTCTAGCACTGGATTAATATGCTCACCCATACCACCACATTTTCAAAGTAAATACAAATCCTCATGCACAGGAATATCGAATATATTACCTAGAAAATGTCAAATATATATATGTGATCAGTTGGAATTATGTGTTGTACTTCGATCACACTCAATCAGCATATCATTTTGACCAAAAAACTTGATAATATTTATTATGTCAGAAAGAAGTGTACTAGTTCTAAATATAAACAAACACATAATAAAAGATGAGATGGTATTGTCACTAGTAAAGACAATCAGAGAAAGACTGAAGAGAAGTATAAGAATAATGATATGGTCAATAAATCACAAAAGAGTTATCATTACACCTTCAATATGAAGAAGAATTCAGAAAAGTAACTGAGATGCCTAAGAAAGTCAAAGTAATTAGCATTGAGAAACTTGCTGCTGAAATTTAGATAGATAAACATGTTAACCGAGCAGAAGGGGCAACACTATCGCTGACTTTTTTACTGCTTCAAGAAAACTTATACAACAGGATATCGTCAAAGAGGATTTGATCAAAGTGTTAAACTCTCATATAATAGTAAACCACAATATATACCAATTATTTGGTATATCCAAAGAGATATTTTCCCCACGATAAACCCTGGGTTGGGTGAGAGACAAATCAAATGTTGGTCAAGTGGGTAAGACCATATTATGGATGGCTTAAACTAAAAATGGATGGAGGGGCTTGATCTCACACTGATATGGAAAACTAGGAATGATATGAGGGTCACTCAAGACTAAAATAGAGCTATATGGTGTGTCCTATTAGGCCATTGCTTATGATTTAAGATACAATAAACCCCACAAGTGACAAGTCTGAAGGGTTAGGTGAAAGAGAGGGCAAATATTGATTGGGTGAGTATGACTCTCTTCTGGATGGCTTAAACTAAACATAGTGGGGCTTATTCTCACATTGAAAGCGATCAAGTTGTAAGGCATTTAATCAGAAACTCTGATGGTCAAGGAGTAAGGCATTCAATCAGAAACTCTAATGGCTGAGCAAGGCATTTAATCAGAAACTCTAATGGTCAAGGAGTAAGGCATTCAATCAGAAACTCTAATGGTCAAGG